ACCGAGTTATCGATCGATTCTCTATTTAAACGCGCTCCGTCCACTTGTTCAATTCACAGAATTTCATCGTAACTCACACACGACGCGTGACACGTGAAGAGCAGAACACTATTTGCACAAACATGACGAGTTGTTTTGATTGCGTCGATGAATTCTGACAGTTCTCTGTTTCGAGAAATTTATTAATTGATTTTCAATCACATGACACACAAACGGAACGATATATTGTCGTATATTATGATACTTTTTATGAATTCGCACTGAGAAAAATCGTTTGATTGTACCAGCAAGACGTATATGATTGAAGGTATTTTGATTAAATCAAACAAAAATTTCTAGTTATCGTGATAAGACTTGATTTTTTATAACTCTTAACTTAACTCGTATTCAATATTTGCCACAAAATGTATATAAAGAACTAGTATTAACACTAAATCCAAAGTATATTTTTTTTCTCTTACGAGCAGTAGTGCCAGAAAGAGGACGCTAGCTCTCTGATTGTGTGTGTTTGAGCTGCATCCTCTTCCTGCATCACTGTTTATCAGTTTAATTTTTAACAAACTGAATTTAAAATAATTTATTCAATAATCTGGATTGAATTTATCCAATAATCTTGTTGGAATTCAGAATATTAAACAGTCTTTTGAGATTAGATGGAAAAAATTCTAGACGACTTGGTGCTGGTGAGTATTATTAACGGGAAAATTTGGTAAATTGAACAGGAAGAAATTAATCAGATTCATCTGGTAATTCCTACAAGAATTCCGGTTCGTTTATTTTCCAACAGACATACTGGTTGAATCTATCAGAATTCTAATTAATGCAACCAGATTTTTTCTCAGTGCGATGATGATACAAAGGGGAAACTGCGACAATTTCTGTGCTTTAAAGAAAACTACACAATGACACATTCCCGTAGAGATACACATCACAATCCATAGCGCTTCGCCAATTTCGCATTTCCATAGAGACCACCTACGACAACCCGACGTCGCTGACGGCGAGGTTGACGACACTGTCGTGAAAATCGAGCGGAGATAAGCGAATGTATGCAGGTACGCGCGTGCGGGGGATGCAGGGTTAGTGCCATTTGTACAGCAATATATTATCCCGGCGAGTATTACATCGTATCGTGCAGGTTGGATGGTCTTCACCATCAGGGGGATATTGTGCGCCACCCATACGTGGCCACACATCCCGCGACACGGCCGCCGCTATCTGCATCCGGCAGAGACGCGCCCTCAGAATAGACGTGAAAATATGCTCCAAGATTTCTCTCGGGAATGCCGGCTCTCTCTCTCTCTCTTTCTCTCTATCTGTCATTCGTCGTCTCTCTCGGTGCCATCGATGTATACACTCGCATTATCGCTCGAAGAACGGCAGTCCGTTATAATCTGAAAAATGTATCTTCCTCTCGGCGCCCTCTTTTTGCCCCTCCCTCCCCTCGCGCCCCGGATAACTCGACGCGACGCTTTTCCTCCCGACCTATCGTGCAGTTTTTTCGCACGTGGTCGACGATCGCGTTGCTGTTCTCAGTAGTGAACACGTGGGTGGCGACTAAGGAGGAATTCTTAGCATGCACGACGATAAGGATTTGGCTTCTCCATAAAAAACTGGTGAATGGAGAAGGAGAGAGGATTACAAATCGCGCTTTAGAGCTCGTCAAACTGCGCCTTTTTAAAGTATGTCCGCAAACACTTGATAAATAACTATCGCCACTTGATAAATAATTATCGCCACTAATATCGACAGTTTTATTTTCACGACGGCATACATTTTGACATCTTTCAAAAAATTTCTCACATGTTTTATATCGTCCAATTATGATACCAGAATTCTAATTGATGTCACAACACACAAATAATTTATGTATTTAAAAAATTTAAATATTTAAAAAAAATTTATATATTTAAAAATCTTGTTTTAAATTATATTTGTAAATATTTTTTTCTCGATTAATTCCACTCGTTTAAAAGTAAATGTTTAAAAATGAAACAAGCGCCAATAATTTTTACGAGCTATTCTACTTTTGTTAATTGGAGTACGTACTTATTTCTCGAGAACATTTTATGTCTCGATAATTAAAGAAAGCATTATGCTTTTTCACAAAGGAAAACGTTATCCATAGAAGCCTTTCCACTCGTTTGATTTGAAAAAGAGGCGCCAGCTTTACTCGCAAGAATCGAGATCAGAATATCATCCATCCAGTCTGGACAGGTGCACATAAAGCAAAGGGGAACAGAAGGGAGACAGAGAGGGAGGAGAGGGGAGACGAAGGAAAAGAAATGATCTGTCTTGGTATGCCGAGGGGGCCAGCCTCGTGAATCGTCGGGATCATCGGGGCCCACCGTTGCCAGTCGCTGCTCACCTGACCCGAATATTTTCGTTCGTTAAAGGGTATTAATCACCGCAACAAATTCGGTTTTGTGCGCGTGAAAAATTTCCGTGATATCTTTGTCGGCGCGCGTACAATCGAGATGAATCATCGATTGCACAAGTCAATCGACACGGATCCACTTTTATAGAAATTAGTTTCTGTCATTAGTTTCGTCTTTAATTTGTTTATTTATCCAGCTCTTTTTCTTTCTTCGTTTTTAGATGCGAACTTCATAAAAGATAAATTGGTCGTAAAATTAAAATTTTAAAACTAAAATAGAATGTTAAGAAATGAGCGATAAATCAAATATTTTATCATCTTGACAGGAATCATCTATTTGCACGATAATCGAGCGACGTAAAAATGTAAATTACACAGAAATGATTAAAACATACGTGCAAAAATGTTAAAATTAGAACCGATAGAAGAAAGAGAAATCAACTATGCAAGCGTAGTTGACCTCGTAATTCGATATAGCCGAAGATTTTTACGCACGCTTGCGGCACGTGTGTGGATTGATCTATTTCAATCAAATTCCAACGAAACCGCATACATCGCGTTAATATCGAATCGATCGCGTATTTTAAACGATCGATTATCCAATCTGTAATCCGGGACGGTGGTCCGCGCTTTAAAACCGTTAGCGTCGCTCTCTCCTCGCTTTTTGTGGGCGACGCGAATTCAGCACAGGTTATGCGGAAGAACGCTCGTCGCTTAGACAAGATTTTATTGCAGTTGAAATTATATATCGTCGCTTATTGCCGTGCGGTGCTGCATTCTTTCCTAATGAGCGACTCATTTTGCCTTGGTCGCTGTTCGCATTTCGGGTAATGGATGAAGGAATGTTCACGGATACATTCGCGTACGTGCACGCGGATAATCCCGTTGATATTTGCCATCAAATTGGCACGAAATGTAACGACGCAAGTAGCACGATCGAGTTTTACTTATCGTAATGAGACATAATTGCGGCCTTATAATGATTCGATAATTGAAATTAATTATTTTTATTATTGATTCGCGTGTGTAAATAATTAGTTACGAAAAGTATATAAAAACGACATTTTGTGATATGTATGAAGCGTATGTACAAGCGTAATAAACTATGTAAAATTAATATTGCGTTTTATCGATTGCACTTTGAACTCGGAGAACGGATAGTGTCCCAATTTCGGATGGTATCGGAAATATATGATTAATTAAACACTGTAATTTATTACTATTTTCTAATGACATCAGTATTAATTATATTAATTATATTCATTTAGGTATTAATTATATAAGCATTAATTATATTAATATTATATATACATATTCGATGCTCTTTTACGCGTGTCTTTAATTTTTAATAATCTAACAACAGAGACACCTATTTTTTATTTCATACGCGACTTTTTTTAAATTTTTTGTTGCAAGAATTACGTTAAATTTCATTATTATTTCAAATTTCAAATTTTGCCCTAATTTCAGATGACATCGAAAATATATGATTAATTAAACACTAATTTATTACTATTTTCTAATGACATCTATTAATTATATTAATTATATTAATTTAGATATTAATTATATAAGCATTAATTATATTAATATTATGTATACATATTCGATGCTCTTTTACGCGTCTTTAATTTTTAATGATTTAACGACAGACACACATCTATTTTTTTACTTTATACGCGACTTTTTTAAAATTTATGTTGCAAAAATTATATATGTTGCTAAATTTAATTATTATTTGAAATATTTTATTATGGAGGAAATTCTTAATTTATATTTATAATTTTTCATTCGCCCGTAAACACATAGAATACATTTAAAAATAGTAGTCAATTTTGTTTACTCTTCGATTTTGCTTTTATTCGATTCGCACATCTCGTTGCTTCTCAACAATTTATTGCAAATAAATCGATTATCGAATCGTATTTTGTTGCGACGCCACTGGTATTAGATCCGAGTTTGGTTCTCACTCACATCGCGCAACATCGAGAAGCGTGCGTGCGTTATACGCGCGAAGCTAATTGGGAAAACAAGTAACGAAGATAACGAGAGAAAAAGAGAGAGAAGGAGAGAGACCGGTTCAAAGCGATCTAGTGTTAGATCAGATCTGTGTGGACTGCGCGAGAGACAGATCGTACGTCGTTAGTAACGATTCACGATTGAGGAAAGACAAGATTCGATATCTATTACGAAGATACGCGCTGCTGCAAATCAATGATATGAAAATTAAAATATTTCGGCGCCAGTCAAGATGGGAATGAAAGAAAAAAAAAGAAGCAGAAATAAATAAAGATCATTAGACATTATATTTACCTGATTAAATATAATATAATAACAAAAAAAGAAATAGAAAGAGAGATGGGAAAGGAAATAAGGATTCACGATGCCAATGTAATAATAATCTTTGAAAGTTATAAAATTAATAAATGATATAGTATAAAATAAATAATGTATATATCTTATATATAAAAGATGTGTATTTTATAAAATATATATACGTATATAAATATATAACTTATATAATATAAAAAATTTTGTGCATGTGTGTGTAATGTATATTTGTTACTTAAAGCATTTATAGAGAGAGTAATCATAGTAACAAATATAAAAAAATTCTAAATACGGATAAATTGATCTGACTTGAGTCTTGGCCCTGACATGTAGCTCGGCCGTTTGATCCACGAAGGTAGCGCGACAAAGCAATCCGAGATAAACATACACTCGAGTTTATCGACAAGCCTGTCCCGCGGGATCGTATCAAAGATATCCAGCGATCGGGAAGAAGAGAGAAACAAACGAGACGTATAAGAGGGAACATTCAACTGAAACGTAAAATCCTCATCCTATGCGGCGATCCAACTCGATCCGGGATATACCGTGTATTCCTGTCCAACGAGATGAGAAAAAGAGAGACACCGAGCGATCTAGCAACGACTACTGGAACGAACAGAGACGACGCTCGAGATCGAAGAGGAGGAACGCTCGTGCGGTGGAGGAAACGACACGAAAGGGGGACAGGCAGGACGAAGAACAGGAGAGGAGAGATGAGGCGCTCGTCGGAGCGGAAGCAGTGCCGACCGAGTCGAGCTCGCGTAGGAACGAGACGAAGAACGTGACAGCTGGCATCGTTGATGGTGTTGGTGACGGACGCACCATGCGATATCGACGATGGTAAGTGTGTGCAACGGTGATGGTCGCCGCCGCGCGATGGTGATGGTGGTGGTCTACCGCGCATATATCGTGTACGGAGCGCAGCTCCAACACTTGTTCCGCGTACGAAGGAGTGAGAAAAAGAAAGAGAGAGAGGCAGAAGGAGAATGAACAAGAAAGGAAGAAAGAGAGAGAGACAAATCTGCCCCCTCCTGCCGCGGGCGGCGCCACTCGAGGAGATCCTTTCCTCTTTTCGCCTCTAGGCCATTCTCGAGAGGCGCGCGCGCCAACGCGGTGTCGCTCGATCGGGATCCTCGCCGACCTTCGACCAATACGCGGTCATTTAAAAAGAGTGCATACCGCGGCTTTTCATCGAGCGACTTTTCCGGAAGTGACCTCGTGCCGTGAATCCCGCGAACCGCCCCTCCTGCAACCGCCGATAGGGTTATCCACGTTAATCAACGACGACGTCTTCTCTTCGCCTCCACGTGACACGGTGCACGTGGCTTATGATTGATCGATTGCGTCTTTGTCGCGAGATGTCAATATTTCGAAACGCTATCGAGCGAAAAGCGATAATTTTTGTTAACAGTGTCTCTTCGGAACGCGATTATATAAGCGAGAATGATGAGATTTCTGTGTAATGCGCGAATCAAGCGTTGACAGTGAAAATTTTTGATATTCGAATCGCGATCGCTGAACAGGAGGCCGACTTCTTCAGAAAGAAGATATCAAAATCATGAACAACGTGATTTATTACGGAAGATTGAATAACATCGGCCTTGTAAACTGAGAGAGGATATGTCTACGCATCGTGCGCGTCGATCGATCGACGGTATCTCGCTACTGTTCACCTTCTACGTCTCGATTCCGCGAGTGAAATCTGGCCGAGTCGAGCGGCCAAGCATGCTGTCGATTATGAGAATGGTAGCCGACACCGGTTCGCCACCAAGAAACTAGCCTGGCCACGTGACTTTCGGCGGTGGCCCGCAATTTCTGCGTCGTTCGACATACGCTATTGGATGTTGTTGAATCTGGATCCGAGCGATCTCGAAAAAAATCCCAAGAGAACTAGTATCGCTTCATCACCGTGATTTTTCTAAACTAAAATTCATTAATCATCCTAATCGATAACGGAGAGGTAAAGTTCACAGTCTGCGAAACGAATCGCGAATGAATGACGCGCGTCAATCTACGTCCGACTACAAGGAAAATCCACGCGTGATATGCCGTTTAATTACGCATCGACGTCCCCACCCGAGCGGTCGAAGCTACTTTAGTCGCGACCAAGTGCAAGAGGTAAAGGGAAAGAAAGAGAGAGAGAGAGAGGCAAATAGGAAGGATTCTATCGTGCGTTGCGTATCGCGCGCGGAGTCGGAGAGTTGAATGCGCGCACAAGCGAGGCCGTCCCTCTCGTCTCGATCGCCTCGAAACTCGAAGCGTCGAAAACTCGTTCGAAAGCTGACGCATCACATGAATACGAGACACGGTCCGCAGGCGATCGTGACGCAAGAATCGGGGAGGCATTGAACTGTCCCCCGCGAGTTTTAAAACGCGACGAAATTTCACGATATCGCGATGAAAAATCTCACGATGCCCGAGGTTTCCGATCAAAATTCCGCTAAATATTCTACGGACTATTCCGCGATGGTTATTTCCCGCGCTATGATCGATGTACGTTTGATTGCCTGTAAAACGCGATTCCATCTTGTTCGTACAGCATTACTGAGATCTTATTAAAGCGACCACAGTGCATGATTCCTTCGTCATATGATCGAGATATCGAAGTTCCATGTCAGACAGCGCGCTGACAGCTGTTCGCAAATACCGCAGACGTTTTAAGCTCTCTTAATTGAGTGGGATATAACGTGCACCGAGAAGCACAGTTTCCTCGATGACTCTTCAGAAGTAGTGAAAGTTACATCTGACAGCAAATTTGCATACAATTATAGCAGTGCCATTGCAGCTCCTCGCTTTGAATACTTTGATGGATGTCATTTAGTAATATGTGATAGTATATTAAAATTTTAAAGAGATCGTATGATTTTCAGAAGCGCATTAATTGTGTCTCTTATTAACTTTAAAGCCAGTACTTGAGGAAACCACATATTCATGCGCGCTTGAAATTAGACGTAATCAAATGGTAATGATCGCAATAAGCACGTTACTAGGATTGGTAGCAAGTTTAACGCTTGGATCGTACGTGAAAATTAATCGGACTTTATCAAGGCAAAACCTCTCCAATTTACGAGACATTTCGCTACACACGTGCAATTTTGCGGTTTAATCTGTGCGACCGCTTGTTGATATTTCTCTTAAATAAACGAAGTTTATCCGGTTAATGGACCATCATTATACTGTCATTATACTATCAAGAAATAATCAGAAGATATTACTGTCGACGAAGTAACTTAACAAATGTATACGTGGACATTAGCGGCAGTCGTAATTGGCCAAAGTTTTACGGTGAAAGCAAATCCCCGGCGCATTCCTCTCTCATCAAACGATCATTATCGAGTGATATTCGCATCGGTCGTCGAGCAGAACGATAAACGTACAGAGATATACCGATCGAATTGAAATTTAATCATACACGAGTATCTCTCCTACCTCTCATTATCGAGACACATTGAAATAAACTGACACAAGTTCGATTTCTTGCATCGCCATGATGATGCAATTTTATTAAAGGGACCAGGATTAATTAGTTAACATCTTTGGGGTTTTTCGATAATCGAGCTCGCGAGACTTTAACGGTGAAAGGCGGCTCTATGCGCGTGCTTGGTCCATACTTCCTTGGTCTCTGCTGGTGATTATCTCGTCGGATTTGCACGAATTCCGGCGAGCGAAATAGCGGATACTGATGTCCACCATGTCCGTCCTGGAGACCGGTGAGACTGACCGGACCATGTCACCGCTGGACGAAGTCGTGTCCCCGACAAGTGTCAAATCGGAACTGATGATCACCGACATGTTGGACGAGCACGAGGTCGCGCTCGACGCGCATCGTAAACGGAAAAGAGACACGGATGGCGAGGAGCTGACGCCAAGAAAACTGCCGTCACTAACGAGGAACAACAATGAGGTCGGATTCGTCCTCGAGGAGAATCCTGACGACGACGACAGAGACGACGTGAGTCTATACCTTCTCGTCTCGGAAATACAAAATTTTGAATTATGTTAATGCTCGGTAATGGGCATCATCGAAAAAATGATATTCTTTGATATTTTTATGATTAAAGCGCAGATAGAATTTCTAACAATATTGAAAGCACATAAAATAAATAATAAGTTATTAATGCAATTTTACAAAAAATTACAAGGTTTTAGTACAATATTACATTAAATTTATGGAAAATATAACAAACTCAAATACGTCTTGCTCAAGATAAATTTATATCATATTTATTCAATCGTTCTACATAATAATGTTTTGCGTTAAATCTTTTTAGTAATGATTCTTTTATTTCTTTATTTTTTAAATTATCATGTGTTTGGAAATACAAGGATATGCTTTTTTTTTTTTAATTTTTAATACTTTATTGCCATATTGTGCAAGCATGTCTCAAACTATAGAAAATTCTCACGTGGTAAGAGAGAGAAAAAAAGCGGGAGAGGGAACAGCTGTTGCTGACGTGCCCGCCTACACACGGTTATACCTGTTTCGAAGTCTGTGAACGTATTCTATTCTGACACTCGGCAACAAATCAGATGTTCAGATCCACGGCTATAATAAAACACAACCATTAATGCATACTTCTTCGCGCTTTAAGAAATTTGCATTGTCAGTTGCCCTTTTCGCTATTTCATGATTATTATTTTTATTGTAAAGTTTTGACATTATTCAAAATGTGATGCGTATCTATTGTTTATATAATCGCTTTTCTCTCAGCTTCGTAAATCTAATGACTATATCATTATTTTGTCTATGCGTATATTCATAGTTTACTACTGTTGTTGAAATTTACATTTTTCGAATCGAAAAATATAGTTCAATTAATAATGGTCTAAAAAAGAATGTAAAATTTCTGAGCAGGGGACTATCAAGATGCTACCATATTACTTTTATATAATCCAATGAATTATTTCAATTTCTAGACAAGCAGGGGACAATATCATTTTTGATATAATTTTTATTTAAAAAACTCTATCAAGAAACCATTATTTTGAATCATCATCTGATAAGATTTTCGCACAGTAAAATTGTTACAAGTGCAATTCATTAATATCTTTACCTGACTCATCAGTCTCTTTAAATGATCATCGCAAAGAATCTTGTACTTCATGAATCTTCATTTCCCGATCTTAGGATTCTAGTTGATATAAAAATATCAACTAGAAAACGAGGCCGAGGATTAGCTCGTAGACAGCACCTTCGTAATAAGCCGATAAGGTCGCGATAGGTGCGAGACGAGTTTCAAGAAAAATCCGGATGCAATTCTGAGATGTGACGGCGCCGGCATCTCAACGTTCGATGTAGCACGTGGTGGCTACGCCGATGATTCCGCCACAACCGTACAACAGCATCGGGAAGATTCCATTAACCGCGTTTCCAGTCGGTGAGCGGGAGCGCAAAAATTAACCCTTGCTACCGGCTCGGGCTCGTGTCGTTAATTATATCCTTGGAATCGGCGCTTTCGCGGTATCTAACGATACCATGAGTTACCTTAGGAAGCTTCACGCTTCTCATGCACGAAATGAGAGAAGATTAGCGCAACATTTGTCGGTGAATGTTTCGCTTAAGAAGCGTTCTTTTTTCACGAAGGAATTTAGAATCTTTTCTTTCTATCTAGTTTTAATAATTATAATGTTAATTTTTGCGGACGGAAATTGATATATTGATTTATTTAATCGGAAATAAAGAATTTTAATCATTAATTAAAAATACAATGCCTTTAATATTGAGTCAAACGAGAAATAATTAAAGATATAATATAAAAAATGGAAACAATATTAAGGATGTTTTGTACCTATTTTCAGAATATTGAGAATTTAATGAAAATTATACAGAATGTCCTTACATATGTTTAGAATCTTCGGTACAATTTTTAAATCGATTGACAAGTTATAAGGATTTTAATTTGCACCGAATTAACATGTGTTTTTATGGGAAACATATAACCACGTCGATTCAAATGACAAAAACACATGGAAATAATATTCTAAATTTCTTTAAAATTTGTAAAAGTTTAGATACAGAGGAAATATTTCGTCAAATAATATTATATAACAATCTTAAGTACTAACTGATTAAAAAGATATTAAATATATAATATAATAATTCAATGAAGTTAGCCATGTATCTGTCACAAGGCGAAATTCTCTGCCAAATGTTAATCATTTCGATTAACAAAATTCGGAATATTTCAGTAAAAACGCAATAAATATGAAAAAATACATCTCTGCACTCTGCAGCTAAGATCAAATTGTAATATTCTAACACAATTTCTTACTCAAAATATAGCAGAAGTGAATATATTCGTCAATATTGATTTTCAGCTACTTTTTGCTGGGATTGTACATACAAAACATCCTTAATTTTTATTTAAAAAAAATTGTTTTAATAGAAAATTGATTAATTTAAAATTTTGCTTGTACAGATCCTATAGAAAAGAGAAAGTCATGGTATGATAAAATAAAAATATTAATATTTTGTAAGCTTTTCCTGTTCATTAATAGACGAAAAGTAATAATATGTAAAAAAATATCGACAGGTTATCAACGATGAATATCTTTGTACATGTAAAAAACCTATGCTGTAAGTTGTTAAATATCAACTTTGCTTAACTTTGATAACCATTCTGTCGTAGCATTATCGTGCAATCTTAATGCCAACGTGCGCCAAGATGTAACCATAATGATAAATCATAGTTAGTAATATAATTTGACAGCAAGATTAATAACTTATAGCGAGGTAAAATTTAGATTCGTACGATTAACCTCCGGCTCGTTCGTAGTGTTCCTCGACATGATCCACCATTGTACATTAAATTGCACACATACACACAACATACATATATTATTTTACAGCTATTAAATATTTATTTCTCTCGAAATGAAAAATGTGAAGGTTCGAACTATCGATGAGAGATCTATGCGTATGGAGAAAGCTGCGTCGAGTATCGCGAATGTGTATCGGCAAATATGTCGGTCTTCGTTATCGCCACTCTAAGACGTGCGACCAATCATTTCAATTTCGCGTTGATTGACAGCGCAGGATCGAGGAAGTGAAAGTGCCGAAAAATAGTACGCTAAAATCGGCACGTTGAACCTCGAGGGATAATATCGTCCTGTTTGAGAGGCCAATAAAAACCGCGATTAATCGTCGAAAGATTCCTGGGTATGACAGTTTTAATGGCTTGCAAGTAATCGCCTTTGCGCCAGCAAAGGATTTAAAGGTGAAGCTGGGGCCTTTCACGTGTTACCATAAGACGCACGTACAAACATAAAGATGTGTACAGGGGAAGAGTTTTTCTTGTGTGCGATCCTCATGAGAGCATGATGGGTGAACTTCGCAACTTCGCACGAGATGCCACTTTAATTCGCGAGAAACAAGGAACTCTTATGCTACATGCGTCGGTTGCGCAATAAAATTTCAATAATTAATACTTGGCGGTTCTATGATCAAGATGGAAGTCTTACATGCAACAATAATTGATACGTTGGCAAATAATTAAACAAGGTTTATTAGGTCTTCGTTGGGTAATAATGTTTATATTAAGACAATTATCGCGCGTTTACACGTTTTTATCTGCTTTGTCTTGTAATCGTCCTGATGATGCAAAGAAAAGGAATGTTTCTATATCGATGCTGTCTATCGCAACGATAAATATGTATTAAATGCTAATAAATGAGTAATTAATGTAATAATTAATTAATATTTATTTAAATAAATATAAAATTATTGATTTAATTCATCTTGCCACATTGTTGGTATTTAACATTAATCATTGTTTTTTTTTTATTTAATACATAAAAGATACATAATTGTTCAAAAAAGTTGAGATCCTGTCATTAATATAATTTATTTTAAGCTGAATTCAGCTTTTTCTTTGTAAAAATTTATAAATGTGATAACAGGATAATTAATCATGTCAAAAAATAAAGAATTTTAGTATGAGAGCTGCATATAAATGAAAATATTTTTTATTTTGTTTTTTATTGAAGCCTCCAAATTTTAACAACATTTAATTTATTGTGTAACATGCAAAATTATCAAATTAAATATAATAAAATTATTAAGAATTCTGTTTGTTGAGAAAATATTATATACAATTATCAAAAGAAATATTTTTATGATGAATGATTTAAATCTTTCAAAGTATTTGCATCCGCTACTTTTATTCTCTGAATATTATTACCAGCTACCGATTATAATGACCATAAAGTGCCGTTATCTCGTTCCATTAAACGAAGAAACTAGCCATATAACATCATCCATAACGCAACCTATAAAATTTAAATTAGGCATTCTCTTATAAAATATTATTATGATAAAAATATCGTCAATCTTCAGCTTGTCATATTTCGTATTATCATGCGCGTCTCAATTTTATGCGATAATTATCTACAATGTATCAATACATACAGGATATTAAGAAAAAGAATAATAATAATCCCGATAAATTTAAAAATAATTCCAAAATTAAATTTAAAAAAAAGTCAAAAAAGACACTCGTTGTTTTTCAACATAACTTGAAAATTATTCGCGATGTAACAACTTCAGAAAACATTGAAAATTATAGTCAAGCTCGTGGAGATCTCTCTCCTCGGACTCTCTGAACGTACCCAGCATGTGGTGGGTCGACTATCGACAATGGAATTCGCTGTTTAAAGTCGGAAATCAATCTTCGTAAAATTTTAAACGCCTCGCGTGCGACGAGTGTCCCTGACTTTCGTTCGCGGATAATGACTACCTGCGGAAAAATTGAAGTTCGAAACGCGGTAGTCCTAAAGACCGGAGATAAATCACCCCTGGCATCGCGGATAATGATAGGTGGTGCAAGACGACCGTGTGCGGTGATATATTGTTGGCAACTCCTAAAGATAGCGCTTGAAATTCCCGGTGAGTGATAATATGCCGTATGCCGCCGATCGCGCATGCGATTTCCGATGCGATCTATCCGAGGATAG